CCCCTGCCCCCCCCCCCCCCCCCGGCACTGCACGATTGCACCAACCCCCCGCGAGCGAAGTGCATGGGCTGGCTCGAGTGGCCCGCCTTGTTTTGTGTTGTTTTGTGTTGTTCTGTTTGTTTGTTTGTTATTTGTCGCTACGGCGTGTGTTTGTCTGTGTCTTTCTCTTTCCCTTTGCTTCTTTCCATCTGCCCTCTTCCTTTCTTTTTCTTTTATCTCTTTTTTTTCTCTTTCTCTTTCTCTTTCTCTTTCTTTTTCTTTTTACTTTTTCTATCGTTTTCCAATCTAGGGTTACCTCGCATAGAGTGCAGAGAGGCGAGCGGAATGGCCTAGACTATCCGTCGTTGATTTTATTTTCGTATACCTTATTTTGGGTAAGTTAGCCTGTGACCACGGGAATCGACTCCGTCAAGTGTTAGACTGTGACGTACAGAGGAAGGTTCTAGGGAGACAGAACGGAACGGTTTTTTATCAGGGATGCGGAATACGGCGGTACCCGTAATTACCCGTAACACCTTCCAGACGTACGTAACTAGTTCCATCCCACATAACTTTTGCGGTAACTTGGGGGTTTGGGATTTTTGGGGGGCAACGGGGCGACCCCCGACAGATGTATTCCACTAAAACAGAATCCAGAACATCATTTACCGCTGCTGCAGGTGGGAGCAGTTTGAAACTTGAAGAACACAAGCATGTCTACCGCACGCAGTATACACGTAAACACGTGTATGCGTGTACACGAGGAAGACTCATGTCAACCCATGAATCCCTTAACTCTACCTGCTGCAATCGCCTTTTGTCTCCTTCTTCTACGGTGTTTAACACCCCATACGGTGTTTAACACCCCATACGGTGTTCAACACCCCGGGGATGACGATATTTCGTCCCCGGTATGCTGCCGTAATTTCGCGTACGTACCGGCCGAGAAACGCCGTAACCCGCATCCCTGTTTTTTATGTGAAGTCAACAACAACAACAACAACAACAACAATAACACTCTGGACTCTGGACTGGCATTGCTACGTGATTTGTGGAGAATGTACCGATGTACAGAGCACTACTTTGTTCAAGAAGACGCGTTGCAACACGGAGTTCTGCTTACAGCAGCAGCGATGTCATGGTCGGCGCGGATGTGACATACAAGCGGATTCCAATCGATGGGTGCTAGTCACTCGCCCACTGCCGAGCAACAGCTGCAGTGACCACCCTACGCAGATGGGCATCTGTTTCAATGTGGTCAATTAATGGATGAATACGGACCGCATACTGTTCGCGTAGATGTTTTCCACGACTCACCGCCGGGGAAAAAAATGCGCCGCGAAGCGCAACCAGGGTGCGTGGACGCAAGCGCCTCTAAGACACCCTTGGTTGTCAACCGGCGAAGCATAGTGAAGACCTTGTCCAGCGCGAGACCTTTGCAGAGTGAGTGCAACAAGCATTGTGGGGGGTATCACAAAAGAGATAACCATAGGACCATGCACCTACTGTACCTGTACGTTCCATGATGCCCCTCTTGCACCCGCTCTCCCTCTCCCCGCCCGCTCGTAGGTTTGGTTGCTAACTTACTGGCTGTGTCTCTCCGGTTGTTTACTGCTGTGCACTCGTTTCTGACGACGCCTACACTTTCAAGATGACGATGACGACGGATGATATGGTGTTTATCTTCTGCTCTAACGTGGTGTTCATCCCGTGGCTCGCGCTCATGATCGCCCCCAAGTGAGTTGAGGTGTCCTGGGTTGCAGTTTGAAGGCAGCGGATACAGCAAGCAGCTGTTGCCGAAAACCAAATCCCTCACCAGCAGTGCGTTGCATTAGACGTCGACATTGAACAGGTTGTCTGGGAGGTTGGTGGTCGTTTTTTGTTTGTAGTGGCCCCGGGTTAGGGGGCACGGTCTTGAGCTCTCGTTGTCGTTTTCGCGGGGAAACAAATGACTTGTTGTGGTTCATGTGCTACAGATTCGCTTTGCGCGCACCAAGTTCAAATATTTTGGCTGAAACGGCGAGGTGTACTAGTTGGTTGACCGCCGCCCGCTGCGATCGTTGGCTGCTGCAGTTCGCAAGTGGAGTACCGCGGTATGGAGCCGCTGGTTGTACTAAGGGGATCAAGAATGCAGTCCACCGTCGTCGAGTTCTCTTCGAATTCTCAAACAAAAGAACAAAAGACACCTGCCTGCTTTCCTTCCCAAGACAAGCAACCACCATGGGGAGGTTTAGAATGAGGACCTCCTCTATTGCCGTGTTTGTGACGCTTTTTGATCGACGCTCGCTTGGACGTTTGAATTTCAGCGTAGTGGACATCGTGGACGTGCAACTACAGGCATGATATTCGGTCAGCAAGAAGACCCACTACTGCAGTTTACATCACGCTGCTGTCGGTGTTGACGGCAGCACGGCAGCGGGGGATTGGCGGGAAAACCAATTTGTCGGCCACGCCGAGTCTGCCGCCGATCGATCAGTACAAGAACGTCACCCATCAAATGGTATCGCTACCATTTTGGTGCGGCGTGTGCAGCGATCGCAAGGCGCGGCGTGTGCCCGTACGTGTGCTTGATGAATCGTTTTCGCGTTTTTTCTTTTCCAACCCATGGTAAATGAGGAAACAAGGTTTTGGCGAGCTGTCGCCACCGGTGGCCCGAGAGATGACTTCCGACATACCGCAGCAGTAGCAACTGATGCACCTGCTGTGTTGCTTTGCCCCTTGTGGTGCACTTGATCCGCGCTTAGCGCGTTCCTGCTTCCTCGATTGGGCGCGAGCCAGGACTCACGACAACGACGTTGCCAAAAAAGACCGCACAGGGCGGCGAGCACGCGCAGAGGTTTGCTGGCGCATGCATTGATGATTCCATCGGCGCCCGCATCTCCGTAGATCATACGAGAAACAAGTAGGGGGTTGGGTGACTCTGGAAGGGGGGTGGCAAGGGGCCATCCTGCTGCCGCGTGCCGTATCTCACACGTAGCGATGCGTGGTTCGATTGCACGGCGCTTCATTATCTGCTTGTTTCCTATCCACAGGTAGCCGCGTTGTTGAACGTACCAATACGTTTTTAGCGTTGGTGGGAACCACAAGTTTTCTTGCTCACGTTCCGAAACAAACAGCGCTGATCTACGTAACGGGGATGCCCAAAATGTTCAACTGTGCACATGAAAAGCTGATGTTGATCGTGTTGTGACCGGTGTTGGGTGTTTATTTCCTGGTAATGCTGCAGTGCTTGCTGGTTTGTGGTCTGCCCGGGAAGAGCTACAGTCTCCTTGGGGATAGCATACATACCCCCAGCTCAACGCTCACATCCAGCACCCACTTCGCACTGTGATAATCCTGCTTTGTGGCCTTCGAAAGCCCTAACGCCGCGGCAAACCTTAACCTTAACAATAATACTCCGTGCACCCCAACAATGCTTGCTTGTGTCCGCCCTTCCAACTGCGGACGACCACGACTGCGCCGACGACAGGTGGAAGTGGACATCGCCCATCACCAAGGCCGTCGTGCTGATGTTGTGCGTCGTCTACACCATCTACTTCGGTGAGGCACTAATTTCGCAGGGGGGGGGGGGGGG